GGGGTTGGGGGCTGGGGGGCTCATCAGGGAGGTCGAACACCCCCTGAACCTGCCTCCCCCCCATCTCACAGCCTGTGCTGAAGCCTACAGCAACACGGAGGAGCAGCTGGGCTGCGTGACCGGGTGCCGCGAGCAGCTGCCATGCCTCCACCCGTCCCTGCATCTGGGTGGACGTGCTGTGGCTGCTCCATCCCTCTGGCATCACCCAGGACCAGCTGGGGAGGGGGTCACTCCTGCCAGGAGCCTGGAGCTGTGGGGTGTGTCAGTTACACTGGGCATGCCAGGGACCAAAGTTTCTCCAGCTGCCAGGCAGAGCAGGCAACACCAGTGTGATGGAGACCACTGCCACCCTGCTGAGCCCACCAGCCACCTCCTGCCTGGGACACTGTGGGGGGACACTGGGACATGGGGACTTGGCCTCGGTCCCATTTCAGCAAGGATCTCTTCCTCCCACAGGAGCTCTGCCCTGTCCCTGCTCTCCCTGGGGCTACAGACTGCAACATCCCACACATGCAGCCCATCCATCCATCCATCCATCCATCCATCCATCCATCCATCCATCCATCCATTCCTCCATCCCTCCCTCCATCCCTTGGCATTTCCCCAGGGCAGGCTGGGACCAGACGTGCTCCCCACGCGCTCCCACCACCTGCTGCATCCCACATCATTTCATGTCCCCTGTCACACATGTCCCTGCGACCCAGGGGCCCCATGCCCACCAGCAGCTCCTCGTGCTGCTTCCTCCAGAGCACAAAACCCAACTGAAGGGGCTCAACCCAGAGGCACGGGCCAGGCAGGGCCATTCTGCCCAGTTCCCGGGGTGAGAGCCTCCCTGAGTGCTGCAGATCCCCCCAGTTGTCATCTCTTATCCTTCCCTGCAATTAGCAACACTTTTTTTTTTCCTCCTACATTTAATTAACTCAGCTTTTGCCCAATTAATTAATATAGACTTTGGGCCAAGGTGGAGGGTTTTGGCTTCACACACGTGCAGATGAAGATGAGTCTGTGCCGAGAGAGCTGCAGCTCCTTTGGAAAACCACTTTGCAGCCTGTTTTTAAGACCTTCCCAGTGTCTGATCCCATTTCCCAGCCCTGCCCCGAGGTCAGGGATGAGCACCGGGGGCCACCCAGCTGACAGGGAGGGCTGTCACCCCCTTCACCCCCCTCAAGCATTTTTCCTTCGGTTCCCAGACAAGCAGGCAAAGCAGATTTAGCATAATAATTAGATACAGAATCTGACCTATTTATTTCCTGTTTGCTGGTTTGACCGTGCAAGGGGCTGTCGGAAAATGTTCGGAGCCAGTGGCAGGAGCAGCCAAGCGGATTCCAGCAGGGATGCTTTAAAAATAACAAACTGCCGCGACGGCCAAGAATCCAGGGCACGGGGAGGCTGCCAGAGAGAAACGCCCTCGGCATCTCGGCCGCTCCGCTCCTATTGTTTAAAGAGCTGGTGCGAGCGCGGGGCTGGGTGACAGCCCTGGGGCTGGTGGTGGCCCTGGGACAGGGTGACAGCCCTGCGGAATTCAGCCCCGGGTTCAGTGACCCCTCCTGAGGCTGGATGACATCCCTAGGGACCACAATCCCAGGCTTGGTGACCTTCCTGGGGCCATGTGATGGCCGAGGGGCTGGGGAACAGTCCTGGAGCTGGGGGCTGGCACTGGGGGTGGGTGACAGCCCTGAGGACTCAGTGACCCTCCTGGGGCTGGGTGACAGCCCTGGGGACTCAGCCCCAGGCTCAGTGACCCTCCTGGGGCTGGATCACAGATCCTGCACATCCCCAGCCCCAGGAGATGCAGGTTGAGCCCCAGAACTGAGTGCCCACCTCAACCCAGCCACGTCCTCGGGGATGTTGTCCCTAGGGTGGGTGATGCGGGGACGGTGGTGACACCATGTCCATGCTCCTTTGCAGAGCCTGGTGCTGAAGGAGCCATCGTTCTCCATGTTCGATTTGGTCTCCACCTTCTGCAATGACATTGTCAGCTCTGCTCAGAGTTTCATCTCCTCCACCTGGACCTTCTACCTGCAGGCAGACGATGGCAAAGTCGTGGTGTTCCAGGTGGGGGTGTCCTGTGTCCCCTTCCTGCTGGGTGCTGAGAAGGGTGGGGACCCCCCACTCACCGCTTTCTCCCTCTTGCCCTGTTGACCCACCAGTCCCAGCCTGAGGTGGAGTATCTGGTACCTGAGGTGCAGGAGCCCCAGCCGGAGCAGCCAGGACTGGGGTCCAGCCTCCATGTCCCCCAGCCCCACACAGGTGCAGGGGGGTCTGGGCTGCCTGGGGGGGGGGGGGCCCAGGAGCCTCTGAGCCCTCCTGGTTTTCTCCAGAGCTAAACAAATTACCCACTTCTCAGGTCTGATTATCTTTCCACACCCTGCACCCACATGGAGGGGGGGAGAGTCTGGACTCAGGATCTGCTCCAAGAAGCTGCGGGATCCTCAGAGCCCCTCACAGTGGGCAGAGGGTCCCTGGGGGGAGAGGGGACCACCCAGCACCCAACCATGTGCTGACAAGGGGAGGGGGAGTGGGACACGGGTGCCCATGGTGGGTGCCCAGGCTCAGCATCACCTCTTCCCCACCAGGCCCCCGGGTGAAGGGGGAGAGGCCCCCCACGAAGGAACCCCGGGACAAAGCCAAGGCGCAGCCCCCGGAGCCCCCCCAGCCGGAGCACGACTTCCTCGGCTGCATGTCCAAGTAGGTGCAGTAGGGCTGGACCTGGACCTGCCGGACACCCTGGAGCAGATGCTCCCCCCTCCCCAAATTCCAGCCCTGTGCCCTGCCATAAACTCCGTCCTTTCCCTTGGGCGGGGGGCGGGGGGGTGTCACAGGCGCTCGGGCCTTCCTCGCTGGATCCTGGCCGCCTGCCTCTTCCTCTCCATCATGGTGATGCTGTGGTTGAGCTGTGCCAGCTTGGTGACTGCCCCCGAGCAGCACGTCAAGACCCAGGTATGGGGTGAGCAGTGCTCAGTGCAGCCTGGGGGGGGGAGGGTCCTGACCCCCTGGGTCTCCCCATCGTGGCTGGGTGGGACGTGGCCAAGGTGTTTGTGGTCCCTGGCCACCATGCTGGGCTTGCCAGCATGTCCGAGCTGGGTGGTACATGCCCCACCAGCCCCAGGGTGTTCCCTGGGGACAAGGGGGTCCTGTCTTCTGCTGTGGGCCTGCATGGTCCCCTCTGCCTCTCTTCCAGCCTTTGAGCATCAATGGGGACAAGGAGTACCTGGAGGACCTGGATGGCCCCGGCACCTTCCCCCTGCCGCCTGTCATCGCTGTCACCCTGTGCCCCGCGGGCAGTGAGGACGCAGGGCCACTGCCCCTCAAGGTCGACCTGGACAAGACCATCCTGTAGCTGTGCCACCCCTTCCCATCACTTCCACACCACCTCCCTGTCACTGTCCCCATGGCATTGTCCCCAGCCCTGCTCCCCTGTCCCCCCGGCTGTCCCCAGAGGGGCACCTCAGCCTCTGGCCTGGTGGGGACCATGGGCACAAAACACCCCGGTCCCACTGTCCCGAGCAGGTTCCCAGGAGCCAGGCAACAGCTTTGCCTCCTCGGTAGACACGCTGCTTGCTGGGATCCTGGCTTCCCAACACTCAAGAGCCAAGAGTGAAGCTGCCGGAGCGGGGAGGCTGGGGGAGCCCAGCGGAGTGGGTCTGTCTCCCCCCACCCGCAGTCCCCGGGCCCCGCAGCCCCGGGCACGGCTCCAGTGCCGGGCAGGAGGGAGCCGGCTGGGGGATGGAGAGTGTCTGCAGCCCTCGGGGCTTTGGCTCAGCACATCCCCGGCCTCCCACCTTGGGCTGAGCCTCCAAGGCGCCGTCTCTGGCCCTGGGAACTCCCTTCTGCCGGCCGGAGCCGAGTGCCTTGGGGAGCCGAAACGTGGCGAATGGATTTGGCCTTGGCAGCTGAGGAGAGGAGTGGATCTTTGTGCCCACACAGGGCCCAGCCGGCCCCTTCCCAGCAGGGCCCTGGGATGACTCCTTCTCCTTCCGGCTCCATGATGCCTTTGGTTGCCAGTGGGGCCAAGCAGGAGACAAGGCAGCAATTCCCTGCCTTGTGGTCCCAGCTTGTGTCCAAGCTGGGGCAGAAGGTGGGAGCTGCCAGGATGGCTCCATGCTGGGCTCAGCATCCCTGCCTGCAGCAGCTCAGCCCATGGAGCTGTGGCTGATGGCAGGACCTAGAGGCAGCCAGTCTCCATGTCCCCAGGGAGCACGGGGCCAGCCCTGGGGTCTCCCTGCCAAGCAAGGACCCCCTTGGCTCACCCCAGTGCAGCCCCTCAGTGTGGTTCCCTCCATCTCCTGGCTCTGCAGGGCTCTGCTCCCATGGGCTCATTGCAGGCCTGGCCACAGCCCTGTCTCCTGTCCTTCTCCATCACTTGACTTCGTGCATCATTTTGTGGTTTGTTTCACTCTGGCATGTGGTTCCTCAGCCCCCACACCCCAGGGGGACACTCCTGAGCTTGGGAGGGATGGCTTGACTGTGGCCATCCCTACCACCCCCACCCCCACCTAACACCCCTGTACAGATTAACTTATTACCTGTGACCCCCCACCCTTGGGATTTTCTCTCCATGTGTCGGTTACTCCCTGGCACTGGGGGGGCCTTGGGGGGGCCATGGCGTGGTAAGGCAGGAGGGGTCTTGTCCCTGGTCCTGCTGGTTTTGTGCTTGTGTCCATTTTGGGGTACCCTTTTTGTTGTTGTTTTTTGGCCACTTGGCTCAGTGTGAAGCTCGGTGGAGTCTGTGGTGTCCCAACCACAGTGGCTCTCCTGGTCCCTGGGGTGCAGCCTGGGACAGGGTGGCTGTGGAGCCCCCCTGGCTTCTCTTCCGAAGGGCAAACCCAGCCCTGAGCTGGCTGGGCAGCACGGGCAGAGGGGAAATAAAAGGTTTGTACCAGACTTGGATGAGTTGGTGGCTTTGGGGCGTCTGGCGCCAGCTGTGGAGTGGGTCTGAGCCCTGGCATGGGAGAGCACATCTCCTTCCCAGCTCCACATCCCATGTTTTCAGGCTGAGCCAGGAGGAAAACTCTGGCAAACCAGAGGGAAACCCCCTTCCTGGGCTGCTTCACATGGAGACAGGGCGATGCTCCACTCTGCTGTGGGGCCAGCAGGTTCCCTGGACCAAGAGGTTCCTCATCAAGCCTTTCAGGAGATGCCACATCCCCTGGAGAGGTGGTACCAACACCCCCGGGGTGGGTGGGCTCAGTGGGTGCAGAGAAGGCGTGGGGTGGGATGGGGGCCCTGCACCCCAATATGTGCATCCCTCAGCTGCAAGGAGGAGGATCACACGTGCATGTTCATGGTGCTTATAAAGAAGGGCTGGAGAACGGGGGCTTTTCCCACTGGAAACCACGCATTTCAAGGAGGGGAAGTGTAGCTGGCCTGTGTGGGTGCCCACCTTTCCCTCCTCTGCCTGTGTTTTTCCTGGCGTGGTGCCCATGTCCACACCACAGCCGAGCTCTCCCCGTGCCAAGCACGACACAAACGCTCACGCCAGGGCCTGGAGGGTTTTAGCACTTCGGTAGCTCAGCGGGGTCCCGGCCCCGGAGCCAGCAGCCGCGCGGGGCCCCCGAGGAGCCAGGGCTGGGGCTGCTCTCAGCTCCTTGTTTTCTTTGGGACACAGAGCTGGGGGTGAGGAGGTGCTGCCCGACCCCGGGGAGGGCTGCGGGTGGGTGCTGGGGTGCTTGACATGAGTTGTAGCCAAAGAAGGATCCCCAGAGGGGATGTGGAGCCTGGGCTGTGCCTGCCAGCTCCTCTGCTGGAGCACAGCCCCTGCTTGTCATCATAGAATCATGGAATGGTTTGGGTTGGAAGAGACCTTAAAGCCCATCCAGTTCCAACCTCCATTCCCACTAGACCAGGTTGCTCCAAGCCACATCCAATCTGCCCTTCAACACTGCCAGGAATGGGGCAGCCACAGCTTCCCTGGGCAACCTGGGCCAGGCTCTCACCACTCTTACACTCAAGAATTTTCTCCTCATGTCCAACCTAAATCTCCCCTTTTCCATTTTAAAGCCATCATCCCTACAAGCCCTTAACGTGCTGCTGGCATCCAGGGTGGAGGCTGGGGGTGCAGCTGGCTGGCCACCCCCAACTTTTTGAGGCCACTTCTCACCACAGCCTGGCTTACAGTCCTCACCTCCTGGTCTGTGGTTTCTTGCCCACAGGAGCTAAGCATGGGTGAGCAGACACAAGGACAAAACCCACCATAGTCCCCCCATGCCCCCACCACCAGCGATGGAGCTGGATGGAGGGTGTGACTCCCCCATGGGCTGGCTTGCCCCTTGCTCTTGATGGGGCCACACACCATGAATTTTCCTTCCCCCCATCAAAAATAAAACAGGGAATGAGATGGAAAAGGCGTCGGGCGGAAAACACCCCGGCTGCCTGCTGGGGGGAGTGGAACCAGCTAATTTCATGCGTCTCCTTCTCACTGGAGTGGGGTCCCTCCTCACCTGCTCCTGGGCACAGTTTCCTGCACCCCGAGCCAGCAACGAGGAATCTGACTCCAGTTTAAAGGCGAGGAGCTTGTCCACAGTTGTAGCCCGGCTCCCATCCCGGGGGGAACTCGCTTGGAGCTGCTGCCCGCAGGGTTTTCCAGCTGTCTGCACCGATCTCGGGCCTTGCCACCTCCCTCTGAGGCAGGGGGATGCAGAGACCCCTGCACTGGGGAGCTCATCCCCCAGTAGCACCATCCCAGGGTTTCTCTGTTTGCTCCTGGTGGTACCCAAGCACTGCTCTGGGGGTGAGTAGCTGCCAGCATCCTTGGTACAGCTCCGAGCTGCCAACACCATCCCTGTCCCTCCAACCAGCCAGCTGAGCTCGGCCATGGAGCTCAGCTCCTCCCTCCAGCACTTGGCACTGCCAGGGGGTGACATCCCACCCCCCATTTAGGCTCTGGGGAGACCAGGTTGGATGGGGCTTGGAGCAACCTGGTCTAGTGGGAGGTATCCCTGTCCATGCAGGGCTTGGAACTGGATGATCTTGAAGGTCCCTTCATACGCAAAGCAGTCTGAGATTCCATGATATCCTTGCCCATGAGATGCCATCCCTCAGCCTTGGTGCTGGCCATGGGTGCTGTGGGCTGTGGAGGTCTCACTGGCCATGGTGGGTTTGGTTGGGTCCCTCTAGCTGCTGTCTCCATGGCTGCTTTGGGCTGCTGTTCTCACCTCTGGAAAATGTCCCCTCCTTTCTCTCTGACCCCCAAACATCTCAGCTGCTGGGAGCTGGCCCAGCTCCACGGCCACTTGCTCCTCCAGCTGAGGAGCCGGCCATGTGGCGAATCCATTTGTGCATGGATTTCCCTCCCCTCTTGCTGTCTGCTCCCAGTAGTGTTGTCCACTCTCATTTCTCATCCCACTCTCCCATGCTGAGAGTGACTTCAGGAGCAGTTCCTTGTCTCACTGTCCAGTCCCCAGAGCCCTGTGCCGTGTCCAGGGATGCCACACAGGGTGGAAAGATCAGGACAGAAGGGTGGGGAAGGTCTCCAAGAAGTCCTGGCCTTGCACACATGTCCCAAACATCATTTTCATGATTTTTGACCCATTCCCCCCGATTGGAGAGGATGCAGTGTCGGGTCGCTGGGTCTGGGCCCATTGCTCCCCTTCCCACTCGCATGCCAGGGAGATGCTGCTGGAAACAAGCAGCCAGGGGGAGGTTTCTTCTTCTTATCTCGTGGTAGAGGAATAAGGGTCTGTCATGAGAAAGCACAATGGGGGGAAACAGCAGGTCTGGGGCCTGCCAGCACAGGGCTTTTGAAGATGATGGAAAAAAGAGCCAAGGCTTCAATCTCAGCCAGGGAAAGGAGATTTTCTGGCTGCTCCAGCTGCCTCTTGCTGCCCCTGGCCCAGCTCCTGCGAGCACATGGCTGCAATCCGGGGCTCTCCCGACCAACATGCAGAGCTGTAAATTCAGCTTCAACCCCAAAGGCGGTAAATCTGCCTCCAGTGATGGAGAGAGGATGGGGATGTGGGATGGGGTGTTGGATGGGGGTTCAACACAAGCTCTGGCAGCAACGCTGGTCCATTGGATGGGGGTTCAACACAAGCTCTGGCAGTGCTGCTGGTCCCAGCACCATCCCAGCCCATGGGAACTGAGCCCTTGCCCTCCGAAATGCTCCTTTGAGCTGTGCTGGGCACCAGCAACAAAGCTCATGTGGCCTTCAAAGATGGAAACCTCCCGGTGGTGTCAAAATCAGGCAGCCAGGCTGGCAGTGGAGCACCGTGGCTGTGGACAACCACCCAGGAAAACACACCCATGGGTCTCTTCTACTCGTCCTCCTTCCTAAGGCCCAAAGAAGAGGAGCCACGGGTGATTCAACAACAACAACAAAACCGAACGAAAAACAATCTCCTC